TTCTCTCCCCAACTGGGTAAAAAGACACCTCACAAGACCTTTAGGACTTCACCTCAAACCTGGGGCTGCCCAATTAGACAAAGGCCAAAAAGTCTCACCTAAGTAATTCATTTAAAAATAAGAGATCAAAGGAAATAATTTGTTTTGTGGAGTGTTTTAACAAAAACAAAAACCTCTTACCTCTATCCCAGTTTTTCTCTATAAGAGCTTTATTATTTTGCCTTTTATTAAAACTTTTTCTGTTTCCAACACTACCTCAAAAACCATCCTACTAATTTTATACCATTAAAAGTAACTAAGCTATCTCAAGCATAATAAATTCTCTAAGAACTCATAAGACCCAACTTAAAAAAAAACCCCATCACCTGGGAGCCCTGTTCTCTTGGGATAAAGGGGGTTAAAACATTCCCAACCCACTTCTGGCATTTCTTTAACCTCTTTAATGGGGATTTTGCATCTCTTGAAGGAGGCCATGCCTAACCCACATGCTGTCACCCCATTTCTGAGCAGTGATTCCCACATGCACAGCCCACAGCAATCCAAACCCAGACACAGTTATTGCTTTCCCAGAAAATCCCTCTGCTGATGGTCATGGTGGCAAGAGCAAAAAATCTCAGATTCTTTTCCCCCCTCTAAGTGTTTTCTCCCAGTTATGGGAGCACAGAAAAGCTTGAAAAATGATGTGGCTTTGTGCTCAGCAGCCACAAATCAAACAGAAACAATCCCAAATGTGTGTGCAGAAATATATCCATATATTTTAATTTTCCTCTTTGAAAGCCAGGATTTTTTGCAACAAAAAGCTAAAAAGAAATTTAAAAGCCTCAGCTAGAAAACCCTGAACTCTGCTCTGCCCCAGCCCCTCAAATCCTCTCCTGCCCTACAAATCCCAGCCAGGGCTGTCCCAAATTGTGGCTCAGGGCAGAGGGGCTCAGATGAGGGGGGGATGCTGCCAGTATTGCTGGGTGCTGCCAGGTTTCTGTCTGTCCTTCCAAACCTCTGATCCTTTCTGCAGGCAGCAATCCCACCCCTGTCCCACTCCCTGCTCTCTCCCTCCTGATCCCTGCCCCGATCCCATCCTTGTCTCACTCCCTGCCCCATCCCCTCTCTTATCCCATTCCTGTCCCACTCCCTGCGCTGATCTCATCCCTGCCACGATCCCATCCCTGCCCCGATCCCATCCTAGTCCCACTCCTGGCCCTGATCTCATCCCTGATCCCACTCCCTGCTCCAATCCTATCCCATCCCATCCCATCCCATCCCATCCCATCCCATCCCATCCCATCCCATCCCATCCCATCCCATCCCTGCCCCAGGCAAGGACCGAGGTGCGAGGCTGATCCCGCCCAGCTCATCCCCGTGTGCAGGGAAGCCGCAGCCATCCAGGCCGGCACGGAGCCATCGTGGCTCCTGGGTTTATCAGTGCTGACAGCAGAGGAGACAGGAGCATCCTCCGCCTCAGGGCTCGCTCGGTGACAGCGAGGGGGGGACAGGGCTGCTGTCACTCTGCCTTCACTGCCTTGTCAGCCCCGGGCAGAGCAGGGGGGATGGGGGGGGCTCTAAACCCCGCAGCTCCCTCCCCACATTCTCTGAGTGATGTGGAATTACCCTCCTGCTCTGTGTCCCAAAAATCCTTTGCCTGAGACGGGTTAAAGCCCCTCCTGCACATCTGTGCCCATCTGGGATGCAGGGGGAGCTTAACCCCCGTCCCAGACAAGAGATGGATGTTTTGCATCTCTTTTAGAGAGGTTTGAAGGAGGCCAGAACGGCCTCGGGCTGAAACTTGGCAAGGCATGTCTGCGCTCCAGGAGGGAGAAATTCCTGGTGTATAAACCCTTTTTTAAAGCCCACAGAGCCCCGTTTTAATAGCCATGAAAGAGGGCAGAGAAGCGGAAACGCTGCGTTCTTAGTTTGCATTATTTCCTACTAGAACGAGGGAGGGACCATCAGAGTGAGGAAGAGCCTGACAAACCTCCCTGGTCCTCTGAAAGCACACGCCTGTCACCATCACTGCACAGCCCACGTGTCACCCCAATTCCAGAGGCTGGAGGGGCTCCCCATACTGGCACACCCTCACGGAGAGGCACCAAAACACCATGGAAATGTCATTTTTCCAGCACTTGCACCGAAGCAAAGCCCCATAAGACAGAGAACTCTTCTTTCCTCCCTCCTCCCTGGCACACGGACCCTCCTGTCCTGGCTGGGGACACGCCGGGTGCATCCCCAGGCTGCATCCCCGCAGGGCCGGGGGCGGATGGCCGTAATTCCCGGTCTGAAGGACAGACAGCCTTAATCCCCGTCTGGAGAGCGCTGCCGCTGTCCCCACCACAGCCGGTGCCACTGAGATCCCTTCTTAGCACAGGGCAGAGAGGCAGCGGGGACACGGCCGGGAGATTGTGCTGGGCTGAACCAGCTCCAGCTTTCCTGAGCCTTCACCTCCCTCAGCAAAGAATTCATACCCTGTATCCCATCCAACCATCCAGCCCTGCTCTTGGTCAGTTTGAAGCCATTCTCTGTATCCTGTCCCTCCACCCCTTGTCTTCTCCAGCTCTCTTGGAGCCCCTTTAAGCACTGTGAGTAGCTCTGAGCTCTCCCTGGACCTTTTTCATCCGCATCTCTCCCAGCCCAGTGCCTGCCCTGCCG